TTAAAACTAAACAAAAATGAAACATAAAAAACGAATATTTTCATTAAACCATTTAAAGTAAATTAAATCGATTAAAACTAAAACGATTAATATTTCCATTAAACCACATTAATTTAATTTAATTATATATAAGCTTAATATAAAACAAACAGCTGCACCACACCATATAAACATAATTTAAATATAAACAAAAGCTAAAATGAATAATTTCAATATACCATGAAAAATAAAAATAAATTCAAACTAAAAACAAAACGAGTACCATCACTAAACCGTACAACTAGAATAAAATAAATTTAATATAAGACGAATATTTAGAGTATACCGTATTAATTTAAACTAAATTTAAATTAAATACTAAAAGAATAACTATACTAAAATGTATATATTAATTTGCGTATAAACTGAATATAAAAAAAAATATTATAAATAGATCATATAAATTGAACTAAGTAGAAACTAAATTTAAAATGAATTATTTTACTAATAACCGTATAAATTAAACTAAGTTTAAAATTACACCATATATTTGTATTTAAATACACAAAAGTTAGTCTCAATTAAATATAAAACAAAAAACCGCATTAAAACATATTGACTAAATAGAAATTAAACATAACATGTACAATTCTATCTAACCAGATCAATATTACCATTTTGAACCAGATCATGAATCTGGTTCAAAATGATAACATTGATCTGGTTCAAAATGGTAATGAAACATCAGATCACAGAATCCATACCATCCGTGTGACATCCATGACATGCATCTATAATGTATGTTTACTTTGCTAATAACACAAAACAAATGGTATCCATGCACAACGACAAACAAATGGTACCATGCTCAACGACTGACACTCTTATGCATCACATTTACACTCTACACTAACAACTTTTCATTATCACAAAAATTAATGAAATTTACTTTCCTAAGCTATGGTTTATTATTTCTGTTTATATTTACTACAGACAACCATGATTAATCTTCATTATTTTTTTTTCTAGAGGCACTGTGTTCTCCACTGGACATCTGTCCTTTAATACTTTTATCTTATTCTGCTACACCTTTTTAACTTGTTATGCTTCTCTAAAACATTCACTGCTCAGTGCAGTTCTACTAGAATGCATTGCATTGAACACAAGAAGTATTTACAAACACACAGATTCATAAAATAAAAGACATTAAATGACATACAAAACTTTAACATTTAGAACACTAAAAAAACACAAAACACAACAACTAACACAACTAAAAACAAAAAAAAAACACTGAAACAACACTTACTTAAATCTAACTTAAACAACATTTACTTAACTATAACTTAATCACTGAATAATTTGTTTAAAATTGCTGTGTTTTTTAATGGTTGTTGACCCTGTCAATGAATGTTAGGGTTATGACTTTTTGACTTTTAAATAAAAAATAATTTTCTGTGTCATAAATCAATGAACTTTTATTAGTAAACATTAAAAACATGTTCAATTCCTCTGGGTTGTAAAAAAAGGTTACCCCGCAATTCAAATTATGTTTCGTAATTTATTTAATCTTATTAATGCTACTACTAATACTAATTTCTTTCTAATCATTTAAAACTTGTATAGACTAGAAGTGGGTAGAACTTTAGAACATTTAAAAAAAATAACAGAATATTTTAGAAGACTTTAGAACATTCTAAAACAATTTAAAACATTCTGGAACAAATTAGAACATACTAGAACAATTTAAAATATTTTGGAACATTCTAGAACAATTTAGAACATTCTGGAATATTCTAGAACATTTTAGACTATATATATACTATATAGCTGCTTATCTAATTTTATAGTTATTACAGAAGCAACACATGGCGTCGTACAAACCTAGGGATAGTAACATTCAGAAGAACAAGTCTGGACCAATAATCTTGTAAAAATTGAAGACTTTCATAAAAGAAGAAGAATAGTCCCTTATAAGAATATTCACTAGAAGAAAAGTGCAGAATGCCTCTCCAAATTAAATTATCAGACGCTACCATTTCCTTAGACCAAAAATCAAAGGAAGAAAGGAGCAAATAGTGGAAATTTCCACTATTTGCTCCTTTCACCAAAGAAAGAAGTCACCAAACTGTGGAAGAATAAACTGAATTTTCCTCATGTATCTGATCAAGTTATACTAACATTTATCATAACACTGAAATGTTATGATAAATGTGTCAAGCAAGGAAGCTACGAACCCCTTGAAATTCTTGATATTACTTAAGTGGATGGAACGTGGTTATCTTCCAAGGACAAGTGATTGTACGATCTCCAAGTAGAAAGCAAAGGAACAGTGGGATACTCTACAGGCCAAGCGGCCAGTATAGAAACAGCCGAATCCTCTAAAAGACAAAAACTTTCTAATGAGTCATCCAACTCATTAGAAAGTTTTCTTACTATCCTAGTTTTAGTGATTCTGACTGAGGTTGACAACAGTGAATATGAAAACAATGAAGAAGATGAGACAACTCCTACACCAAGC